TCTCGGCTCACTGCAACCTCTGCCGCCCGGGTTCAAGCAATTCTCTTACCTCAGACTCCTGAGTAGCTGGGATTAGAGGGATGCCAACACGCCCGGCTAATTCTTGTATTTTTCGTAGAGACGGAGTGTCACCATGTTGGTCAGGCTGGTCTCAAATTGCTGGCTTCAAGTGATCCTCCCACTTCAGCCTCCCAAAGTGCTGGGATGACAGGCATGAACTACCAAGTCCAGCCATTTATTACCATAATAAAGTCTCACAAATTCGGTGGCTTACAGCAATAAAAATTTCTTAAAGTTCTGGAGGTCAGAAGACACAACATGGCCTTACTGGGTGAAGGTCAAGATGTGGGCAGGGCTGTCTTCCTCTGGAGGCTCTAGGGGAGCATCTGGTCCCCTGCCCTTTCTTGTTTCCAGGGCTCCCCTGTGTCCCTCGGCTCCTGCCTCCTTGCTCCATCTTCAAACGGCCAGCTGACTCTTCACATCACATCACATAACAGCACTCTCACACCAACTCCTCTTCCACCTCCCTTTTCCACCTTGAAGGACCCTTGTAGTGGCATTGGGCTCACTCACACAAATCATAAAAAATAATTTCCTTATTTTAACGTCAGCTGATTAGTTACCTTAATTCCATCTGCAACCTTCATTCCACTTTGCCATGTAAGGTGATATAATCATCTGTTCCAAGGACGAGGATGTGGAAATCTTTAGGGGCTATGATTCTGCCTGCTATAATGTCTCCCAGGCCCCTCACAACTGACAAGTTCATACCTGACCCCTGCTCTTCCCTCTGCAAACCTGCTCCCCGTGCAGCCTCACCAGTCTGACCAGAGGGCAAGTTCAGCCTTCCATTTGTGCAAGTCACAAAGACTCGGCTCCCCCTCTTTCTCACATTCTGCCTCCAATCGGTCAGTGAATCCTCCTGGCTTCACCATCAGTGTCTCACCAGAATCTTCTCACTTCTCCCCAGCCTGAACAGCCGCCACCCTCTTGGCCCATGCCTGCCAGAGCCTCTCCTCAGGTCTCCCTGACTCTGCTCTGTAGCCCAGTCCCAACAGAGCAGAGAAAGGGGCCTCTTTAAAGCCTACTTCAGATCACGTCCCTGTCCACATGTTGCCTCCTATGGTTCCTGCACTTACTGAGAGGAAGCCGTGTTAACTGCATTTCCAGCTTCTGTGAACTTGGGGCTGTCACTTTTCCCCTGCACATCTATGCCAGGCATGTCTTGTTCTGGTCAACCCAATAATATACTTGAGTCACCTCACCTTGGCCTCCAGCCTCCCTTTTTGCCCGCCACGCCCACCCCTCCCCTAGGGAGGAGCCCTCCTCCCAAGGACTCGCTTTTTAAAACACAAACCAATCAATCCAGAGTTCACAGCCCCAACCACTCCTTGATCAGGCGCTCATACTCTGTCCACTGTGCATCTGCCCTAATCACCCAGGGCAGGTACCAGACAACTAAGATTGCCTCAGTGCCCAGAGCCCACTGAGATTACTCAAACCGGCCAATCCTGAACCTGCCTGCCCTGCCTCCCTGATTCCATCCTACAATGACCACAATAAAGGCTCTGGGCACACAGGGGCCTTCTTCCTCCACCCTGTGACCAAGCCTGGTCCTTCCCCTTGCAAGTCCCTGTGGTACAGCATGCTTGCTCCTTTTGGGAACTGTGAATAATAAAATATCTTTTCAATGGTATTTATTTCCTGATCTGCTGACTTCACTATACCTCAGATTTTCTACTAATACATTCTATTTTAGAACACAACTAAGAATCAGCAAGGTGAAGATTAAAGTGCACCTTGGTCACTGATAAAAGCTAAGCTAGGTGGGACTTAGGTGTGATAAAAGGTTTGTTAAAACTCCCCTGAATTGAATTTCAGTGTTGCCCTCTGAAGGGCAGAGCTCTGCTAAGATGGCCAAGCAAGCCAACCAGAATACTGTCTTCCCATAGACAGGCAAATGTAATGGAAAGAAAAAAAAAAAAGATATGATTCAGCATCATCTCCCCAACTTCCCGCCCGGAAGAGGAAGTAATGGGTGTAGAGAGGGACTATGAGTGCTCAGAGAAAGCCTCTCCCAGGGAAACAATACAAGTGGGGAATAAATGTTCCTTCTTCATTCTTACTGATGTTTTGGCATGAGAGGACTTCTTTTCATGGCCCGCAGAGAAGAATATTTCTGCACCTAGATTTGTCTGGAGAGCGGGAATGATTATAGACCATGGGGGCATGGGTACTAAGGGGTGCTGTGAAGGGCTAAGCATTCATAATGTATGCCAAGGTGTGGGAGGTATTTCTGACATGGCTCACTTGATCCCCATCTCCTGGTATCACCCCACTGTGTAATCTTCCCCCTCTGAGTGCAGACTGAACCTAATGACTTTCTTCTAGGGAAATGAACATAGCAAAAGTGTTGGACTATCATTCCAAGATAAGGTTACAGAAGACACTAATATTGTCTCTCTCTTTCATCTCTTATGCTTGCCCTGATGAAGCAGGTGTCATGTAGAAAGAGACCCATATGTCAAGGAATGGAGGGTGGCCTCCAGTCAACAGCCAGTGAGAAACTGAGGCCCTCAGTCCAACAGCCTTTCAGCAGTGAAATTGAATCCTGTCAACTAGCACATGAGTGAGCTTGGAAGCAGATCCCTCCCTAAGTGAGCCTTGAGATGTGTATAACCATGAACAACACCATTGGTGCAAACTGTGAATAACCATGAAGCAGAGGGCTCAGCTAAGCCATGCCCAGGTTTCTGATCCCTAGAAACCAAGATGATAACTTTTTTCAAGTGACTATTTTGGAGTCATTTGTTATGCAGCAATGGCTAATTAATATGTAATTCCTTAGCACAACACATGGCATATAGATGCTCAAAACAGATGCTATTTTGTTATATCTGACTCCAAGACCACTTTCCCAGCTATCTCCCAAGTGTAGCTGCTTTATTTCCAAGATTAAACACATATTTCAAATAAAAATCTTTTACTTTTACTAGCTGTCTGTCTCTGAATCTCAAAATATTTAGGACAGAGGGTGAAGAAAGGCTCTTCTTCCCTTTAGATTGAAAGGCATCAAGAAACTGAAACTTAATGGGCTTTTTCCCCCTTGCTAGGATTTTGCTGGTCCTGAATTTCCTCTTCGCTCCCTGAATTTAGCTGCCACCCAAATTCAGCCCAAGCTAAATGGCTCTA